CCGGGGCCCGGGGCCAGACTCTCGCAGGAGCAGGCGCTGGTGCTGAGCGCGGCGCTGAGCGGCAGGAGCGTCTTCTTCACGGGCAGCGCTGGTGAGTGCGGAGCGGGGGCGGGTCCCTCCTCCTCCTCCTCCTCGCAGCTTCCCGGCAGCGCGCCCTGGCTCTGTGCCCCCGGGGGAAGCTGCCTGGAGGAGGGGGTCACTAGAACCCGAGCCTGGGCCGGGGGAAGAAGGAGCAAAGGTGCCCTGCCACCTGCCACAGGGCCCGTGCCCTTTGGGAGTGGGGGGCTCGGTCTCAGGACTCCTGGGGAAACGGCCCACTTTGGTCCCCTTCTTCGCAGCTTCCCGGCAGCGCGCCCTGGCTCTGTGCCCCCGGGGGAAGCTGCCTGGAGGAGGGGGTCACTAGAACCCGAGCCTGGGCCGGGGGAAGAAGGAGCAAAGGTGCCCTGCCACCTGCCACAGGGCCCGTGCCCTTTGGGAGTGGGGGGCTCGGTCTCAGGACTCCTGGGGAAACGGCCCACTTTGGTCCCCTTCTTCTGAGAGGCCCCTGCAGCTGGCCCTGGCATGGCTTCACAAGAGGCAAGTCCCTGGCTTGGGGACCTGGCTTAGAGCCCCTGGCTAGCGACCTCATCTCTGTCCCTGGCTATTTCCCTAGTGACCCCTAGCACCCGACCTCGGGACCTCCTTTTGGTCAGTTCCCAGGAGGGCACTGTTTTTTTTCTGTAGATTTCGGACACCCAAAGAGCACAGCAGACAGCTCGGCTCCAAACAAAGTGTTTATTGTGCCACTCCACCTCCTTCTGTCCTTCCTTGGGCTCCACTCCACCCTCTATTCAGACTGTTCTTGTTCTCACTAATCTCATCCTCCTCTCCAGCATATCTTGACAACCTTTCATAGAAGGAGGGCGTTGGCTTTTGTGGTTCCCCTGCTTTCCCTGGCACAGGTTCAGGTGTTAGGTCTGTGCTGTGTCAGGGTGAAGGGCAATCTTAGGACAATCTTCCTAGGTGTCTTCAGCATTTGTCGGTTCATCGGAAACCTTCTGTCCCTTCCGTAGATCTCATTCTACAGGCCTCAGCCATTTAGTACGTTGTCTTCAGATCTTGCTTTCTTGACACCTTCTAGTTGTTGAGTCAAAACTTTCACTTGTTCAATATTTGTAATTTCTTCACTACTTTGAACAAAACTTTTATTAGTTCTGCTTCCCAAGCAGTCTTGGCTTGCTTATATTTTTCCAGTAACATTCTTGCTTCCCTGCTTGCCTGGCTAGTCCTTGTTTTGTGACCCTTTCTGCCATGCCTTGCACTGTTTTCTGTACTATGTTTTATCAAGTTGCTAGTGTGATTTCTCCATTGTCAGAAGCTTGGAAGTTGAAATGTCCTTCAAGCATCCCTGTGTACACCTCCTCCACAGACAGCTTGTCTAGGTGGTCAGGAAGAGCTCATCTGTTCCCCAGCACCTACCTGTACAGTCTTAACAGCTCCGTCACAAGGGGATGGGATTACTTGTTCCTAAAGTGTCTGGCCATGTAGGCTCCCAAATGAATGGAGCTGAGGCTAGACTTGAGAGGAGTATGGGGCTTCCAGGAGGTTCCAGGCTGTTGTTTTATTGGTGTCTGGGAAAAGCATCTCTGAAAGGGTTTCTATACTCTTTGTAAAAGGGACTGGGAAATCATTCCTGTTGAAGAAAATCCTGGGTTCGCTTCCACCAAAGAGCACCTATGCTACAGCCAGCACAGGAGTGGCTGCTTGCCACATTGGGGGTACCACGCTGCATGCCTTCGCAGGTAACGAGGAGAATTTTCTGCCTGGAAGCTTAATCTCGGGGGCTTTGTTCGGGGGCGGTATGGGGGAGGGGGTTATCATAAAGGGGCGCCCAAGCTAAATGGCTTATCAAGGAACATTCAGGTTAGAAAGGGCCAGGGAGCTCTTAGACTCTGGTTTCAGAAGCCAGGATAATGCTCTGTCCTCTCTGCTATGCATCCAGGCATTGGTTCTGGGAAGGCACCACTGGAGCAGTGTATTCAGTTGGCCCAAAGGCTGGGAGTGCGTCAACACTGGCTGGGCTGCCAGCACTTAATTATCGATGAGATCTCAATGGTGGATGGCGAGTTCTTTGATAAGCTGGAGGCTGTGGCCAGGTGAGTCCAAGCCTTTCATAGCAGGTAAAACTCCCTGTGTGTTTGGATTACTGTGTCATATGGCTAAAGTTGCTTCCCCACCCCTTCCCTCCTCTTGGTAGCTGTGTCATGGGAAGGTTACTGATATGGTGGAGTAGTTGGGAAGCCCTGGAAGAGGATTGGTGCATGAGTTGTGTGTCCCGTGCCTCCCCCCCTCCCCCACGTTTCCCTCTGCAGGGCTTCTTGAAATGCTGGGTGATTCATTCTGTGGGAGGGTGGAAGTCAAATTTTGTTTCTAAATGGAAAAGGGGTACTTAGGACCTGGTGCTGTATCCACAATCCCTGCTGTCTGGCAGCTTTTGCTTATCCTGTTGCTGTGAAACCCTAATTTTTCCCATCCCTGCTGCACAGGCACTGGGTGGCTACTCCTCAGTGAAATGTTCACCGATCTAAAACCTACTTGTGCCAGAATGAGATTTCCTTATGTTCTGCAGGTTGCTGGCTCCACTCCTGGGCCTTGGTCTGGACAACCCAGTTCAGAACCTGTTTCCCCCTCTGTGCTGGGAAAGGGACAGCTTGTAGCCAGCCTTCAGCAGCTCATTTCCATGACTTTCTGGACTGCTACTGCTGTGCTGTTCGGGTCACCAGGCCAACCTTGTGGTCCCTTGTGCCCAGACCATGTCCTGCATTTGCACTAACACCTCCTTGTACTGTATATACCTTGGGATATCCCCCAGATCAACAGCTAAGGAGTGAGAGGCAGGTCCATGGGGGGGGCAGATGCCACAGAAAGGAGTCACAGTAAAATAAGACATTTCAGAGCAACTCCTCACTGTCCTGGGGTAATGCTGCACCACAGCAATGTGTCATGGGGTCTGGTTTAGCTCTGCTGATGGAAGGCTGAGCTCCTGCAGGGGTTTCAATGCAGGCTTGCACTGGGTGGGCGTTCACATTGACCTCTTCTCCTTGCGTCCCCTGCAGAGCAGTCAGGAAACGGGATGACCCCTTTGGAGGCATACAGCTGATCATCTGTGGGGACTTCCTGCAGCTGCCCCCAGTCTGCAAGGGCAACGACCAAATCAAGTTCTGCTTCCAGGTATGATGTCCTAGCCCCTGCTTCCACCTCAGGCTGCAGTCTCAGTCAGCTTGTGGTGAGCAAGTGATTTCTTTGCAGGCCAAGAGCTGGAGGAAGTGTATCCATGTGAACATGGAGCTGACAGAGGTGCGGAGACAGACTGACAAGGCCTTCATCTCACTCCTGCGTGCAGTCCGCCTGGGCAGGTGAGGCAGGCTCAGGGCCTGTCCCCACCAGTGCTTCAGATCTGGCTGCTTATCCTTGCATCCCATGAGTGTTGTGGTGGAAAGTGAGGACAGCAGGGCTTGAATGTGCAGGCTGTCTTAACTTTCCTCCCACCAGCTGGCTCTGCCCAGGAGCTTTGGGGGAGGTTGCTATTCTGCATCTGTCATGTCCAGCTGATGCCTTTGGGCTTTGCTTTTGGCTAGTTCCTGTTACCAGTGCCTCCCTGACTCTTCACCAGGTGCCCAGATGAGGTCACTTGGCAGCTGACCCAGACGGCTGCCAACAGGGTTGAGAGGGATGGGATCCTGGCCACACGGCTCTGCACACACAAGGATGATGTGGAGCTGACAAATGAGAGGCGACTACAGCAGCTGCCAGGTGAGTGCCCCATGAGCAGCTCTACTATGCAGGAGTTACTGTTGGGGTGAGAGCGATTGGGTGATCAGCCCTGCCTAGGGAGTCCCTGAATGCCTCTGATGTGGCAGTCTGAGCTATGCCATCGGTATTATAGAATCCCAGCCTCATGGGTCATCTCGTCTAGCCCCTGTAAAATGGCAAAGTTCCTCATTCCCAAACCATCCCAGATAGAGGCAGTTCAGCCTTTTTCTTCAAAGCCCTCAGCAGAGTGATTCCAGGAACCCTTTTTCCAGGGAGTTTCCATCAATTATGTCATTGGTGGTCCCTTGAAGTTGAGGATAATGTCCTCAGGTGACTGAGGAGCCTGATTCTGGATGCACGCGTTCTTTGGCAATGAGGGCATGTTTTTGCGCAGGGGAGTGGGATTTGCAGCCCTGGGTTGGTCTCCTTCTCCTTCCTCCACTGCCACCATTATGCCTCGGTATTGAGTCATTGGCCTCAAAGTGGGGTGTGCCTTGGTGGGCCAGGTGGCACCATGCCAAATGGTCAGCAGCTTGTTCCTCCCAGACGTTGGTGTCAATGCCACCGCGCTTGAGGGCAACTTTGAGCGTGTCTTTGTACCATTTCCTTTGGCTGCTCTTTGAATGTTGGCCAACGGAGAGTTGGGAGAAGAGAATCTGGCGAGGGAGGTGGTTGTTGGACATTTGGATGCAGTGGCCCGTTCATTGGAGTTGATTTCTCGAGAGTAAGGCTTCAGTGCTGGTGGACACAGCTTTATGGGGGACGCTCGCACTGGTCCGGTGATCCTCCCATTTGATCTCTTCCAGTTTTCCCACAAGGATATCGTTGGACACTAAATTAAAAGCCTTTTGGAAGTCTAGGTATATAATGTCTACCTCGTCTCCCATGTCCAGGTGGTGAGAGACCTGGTCATAGAAGAAGATGAGATTGGTAAGACAACCTACCCAGGACAAAGCCATGCTGGCTGTTGTTCAGGCTCCGTAGGTTGTCTTGGTAGCCTGGAAGAAGTTACACATGTCGTGCTGGTCGGCATAGCCCTGGATCATGTGTGCCTTCTCCACCCACCAGTTGTTCTTTATGTCATGGATGCATCACTGGACCTCAGCCTTCAGCTGGTGGTACACTGCTGTCTTTTGCCGGGTTCATGGGTGGCTTTGCCAGGCGATGAAGGCTGCACATTTCTGTTTGAGGAGATTGTGAGTGTCGAACCAGTCCTGGTTCTGGCATGATGTGAACCCAATAGTCTGGGTGCCTAGAGACTAATACAAGTGATTATTGTTAGTAAGATGGGACTTGCCTACTGATGGCAATGTAGAAAGAGGGGCTGGAGTGTACTGGTCAATTAGAGGATAAGCATGAATACCCAAAACTGGACACAGTGCTCCAAGTGAGACCTCCATCAGTGCTGAATAGAGTGGAAGAATTGCTTTCCTTGATTTGTAAGTGCCACTCCTGTTAATGCAACCCAGCAGGTCTTTTCTGCAACAGGAGCACATTGTTGGCTCATATTCAGCTTCTAGTCTGCTGTAACCCACCTTCTCTGCAGTATGCAGCCTGGCTGGCCACACCAGTCTGTATTTGGGCTTGTGATTATTTTGGCCCAAGTACAGGACTTTGCACTTGTCCTTTGGTCACCAGGGTTCAGAGAAGATTAATTTAAGCTGGAACAGGTAGAAAGGATGAACCTCTGTTGTGAGAGAAGGCTAAAAGAGCTTGGCTTGTTTAGCGGAGTAAAATGAAGGCATAAGATTGTTTTGCGAGGCATAAGATTGCTCTTTATAAACTTTCATGTGGTGAATATTGGGGAGGGAGAGGAGCTATTTAAACTAAGGTACAGTACTGACACAATATTACAAATGGGTTATGAACAAATATAGGTTGAAAATAAAAATGTTTCTAGTTAGCTTAGGAGAACAGTTCTCTGAGCAAAGACCCTGAATCTCTTTAAGATTAAACACAGCAAGCTTATTGAGAGAGATGATATGATGGCATAGGGCAGGGGTTGTCAACTGGGGGTACTTGGGAAGGCCCCAGGGGCTATTATGCGGCAGTGGCGTGGAGAATCGGGGGGCGGGGCCACCAGCACTGCGGTGCTGCGTGCCATGTGCTGCTAGTACTTTTGTTTTTGGTGCTGCCATGCACTGCTGGCACTTCCGGTTTTGCTGCCATGTGCAGGAGACACCCTCCCCTGCCTGGTTCGTCAACTGGCTGCCGGGGGTACCACTTCCTCGGATTTTTGTAGCATATACGAACCACTCCCTCCTCTGCCAGTGCGGTGCCAATACCTTAGCTGTATGCTTATCTCCCTGGCTTTGTACCTGTGACAGGCAGCAGGGCAAGTTTGGTTTTGGTTCTGATGTGCTTTGTGGCTGTGGCATGTGAGGGGTTGGACTGGGCAGTATTTGGGATCTTTGGGTAAAGGGTCATCTGCAGGCACAGGGAACGGGACTTTATGGCTCAGGAGTGCTGGTCTCCCTGCACACACAATCCCATGTTCCTATGATGTGTTGCCTTTCCCCTCCCAGGAGAGAGACGCTGCTTTGAGGCTGTGGACAGCGACCCCATGCTGGCCAAATTAATTGATGCCCAGTGTCCAGTAGGTCACCACATTGAGCTGAAGCCTGGAGCCCAGGTAAGTGTGTGCACATGCTGTGGGCACCCAAGGCAGATGGAACAGGTGATTGGGGCAACATGTGGGTAGATCCCAGCCAGAGGCAACCCGAGTAGAGTGCGAGGCCCAGGGCAAATCAGCCCATGCGGGGCTCCACCCCCACTCTGATCCCACAGGCCCCGGACCCAAAGAAGCTGCCGCCACCATTGGCAGTGGTGGCAGCAGGGGGAGTGGGGGGAGTGAACGACTGGGCGTGGAGCCAGTGCTCTGCCTGGCTCTGCGGGATCCAGAGCGGTCGCCCTGATTCGCTCTCCCCTAGGGACGGCGCAGTTATGGACTGGGTGTGGAGTGGGACAGAGCTCAGACAGAGCTGTTGCATGCATTCCTAGTGTCCTTCCTGCCCAGAATTTGATACAGACAGAAGAAATCCACTGGGCTCAGTCTGAAGATGCCAGCATCCTTTGAGCACTGGACTCGGGTGACTCTTCTCTATGGACCTGATTGTTTCCTGCTGGGCTGCAGGAAACCTGGCATGTGCTAGCCAAAATCAGATCTGCTCAGCTCGCAGCTGAGATGAGCAGCCCATTCTGGCCTGTCTGTGGGTAGCAGCAAAGCTCAAAGTGCTGTAGCACCGTGTGCTTCAGCTTTGCTCTTTCATTGCTGGTGGATAGGGTTTGTAGGGGCCCCATAGAGCAATGTGTAGCGACCCTGTGCTGTACAAACCAGGAGGCTTCTTTCTTGGCCGTTCCCAGGCTCTTCAAAACTCCATAACTGCAGTAGCATGGGAACAGGGCAAGAGTGGCAGTTGCATGATAGGGCTGTGGCCAGAACCTGCTCACAGATGTCTGACAGCATCTTTGCAGGATTGGACCTTCCAGGGACTGTGGCTGAGGATCTGGCAGTGAGGTGGGGGCTTCAGGATGGGTACCATCCAGTCCTGCTGAGCCCTGCAGCAGCTTTGGCCATCTGCCACACTGTGGTGCTTGTCCAGGATGAGGCCTGGGGGAGGCAGGGAGTTGAATGTTCCTGCAAGGCAGGACCATGAGTAGACTCCTCCAGGCATCTTCCTTCTCCACCTCCAGGTCATGCTTACCAAGAATTTGGATGTGTCTCGGGGCCTGGTGAATGGGGCACGAGGGGTTGTTGTTGAATTTGAAGCTGGAGGGAAAGGTGAGTCGTCGTATGATATGCTTGTGGCTACTTTCACTGCTGCTGCTGGTCTCATGGGCAATGCGTAGGAGCACCTGCTCTCAGGGATGGTGGGAAGATAGGGAGGAAGCAGCCGCCTTCACCGAGTGAGGCTCTTTTCACCCTGAGAACCAGAGCTGGACCCTGTCCCCAGCCAGGCTGGCTTGTCGAGGTAGCTGTGTGCCCTTGTCATTCTGTGCATGGCTGTGTTCATTCACTCTGGCTGTGCGTGCTCCTACTTTTTCCAGCAGCGCAGCTTTCTGCAGGCAGAGTCCTGCTAAATCTCTGGCTTAAGTTCTTCTGCGTGCCTTTCAGGAGTGCTTTACTCCAGCAACAGCTAGTCTGAGAGTAGAGAGGAACCCAGAGCATGTGTGTGTCTATACAGCCCTGAAGCTTGGAAAGTGGGAGGGCAGGGATGGGGGACTGCACACGGGAATTCCTGCTCTGACTACCCTGTCCTTGTACCTGCAGGGCTTCCTAGGGTGAGATTTCTTTGTGGGGTCACAGAGGTCATCAAGCTGGAGCGATGGATCTTCAAAGGGCCTTCTGGCGTTCATTTGAGTCGCCAGCAGTTGCCCCTAAAATTGGCCTGGGCTATTTCCATCCACAAGAGCCAGGTTAGTGTACTTGCACTGGGATTCTCTGTCACAGGTCGGGTGAGAAGAGAGACCAGAGGTGCCTGTCCAGGCAGTAGGGGAAGGACGCTCTGTGTCACATGGATCAGGGATGTGACGTGATGTGAAACACCTTGACTTTCTCTCTGCCCTTTATTGTGGTGTCAGTCATCAGAGTGGCTGGGACATTGGCCCTGAAGGGTCTGAGCCAGAACCCCAGTGGCTAGAAAACACCTGCTCAGTATCCTTGGGGGAAACTGCTCTCTGTCCTCTGCAGGGGGTGCATTTTGGCCCAACCAAGGTTGAAGTTACTGGACCAAATCATAAAAAAGTTGGTTTGTAAGTGTCTGGAGGAAGAAAGGCTGATCACTTGCAGCCACCATGGACTTGCTAAGAACAGATTGTGCCAAACCAACTTGATTTCCTCCTTTGAAGTAAGCAGTTGGGTGGATGAAGTGAATGCCGTGGAAATAATGTACTTGGACTTTAGTGAGGCTTTTGTTAAGGTTTTGCCTGACCTTCTCACAAATTAACTGGAGATATGCGGGCTAGATAAAATTACTGTACGGTGGATACATTGGCTCAGTAATCACAAGCAAAGAGTAATTAATTATAAATGCTTCCATGTCAGAATGGAGGAAGTTCCACAGGGGGCTGGCCTGGATCTGGTGCTTTTTAACAGGTTTTCATTTATTTGGATGCCAGGATAGAGAATCTCCTGATTTAAGTTTTCAGATGATGAGAAAATGGGAAGGACTAAACCCTTGGGAGGATGGGAGTAGAATTTAGAAAGATCTTGATGGATTGAAAAGCTGGGCTAGAGACAGTATACTAGAACAGAGAATCTCCTGATCAAGCGTGAAGATGACATGAAAATAGGAAGGACTGTGAACATTTGGAATGGACTGGGGAGCTAGACTAGACAACAGAATTAAATTCATTGTGGACCAATGCAAGTTGCTACACTTAGAAGAATGAACAAAAGCACAAATGCAGAATGGAAGATAACTGCTGGCAGCAGAATTGCTGAGGAGGGTTTGTGGTTTGGGTAGGTCATAGATTCAACAGGAGATAGCAAAAAACCCCCAAAAATAATGTAGGTCTGTACGAACAGAACTTTTTGGTGCAAGACACAGGACATGACAGTGCCACTCTACTTGGGATCAAAAGAAAGTTGAACTACAAGGGATCTCAGGAGGTCGCATCTACTCCAGCCCCCTGACTAAACCATCCCAGCCAAGTGTCTGTCCAACCTGCTCTTGAACATTTCCAGGGATGGAGATATTCTATTGCTTCTCCAGGCAGTTTGTTCCAGTGTTTGACCACCCTCAGAGGCAGAAAGTTCCTCCAAATCTCTGACCCAAATTTCCCCTACTGAAGCTTGAGGGTAGTGCTCTTGGTCCTGTCCCCTACAGCCACAGAGAGAACCCCATCTCTACCCTCTCTGTAATTGTGCTTCAGGTATTTGAAGACTATCAAATCCCCCCATAGACTTCTCCAGACTGAATAACCCTAGCTCTTTCAGTCTTTCCTCATTAAGTCTTGATTGTCAGATCCCTAATCGTTTTTGTTGCTCTGCACTGGACTCTTCCCTGACTGTCCACATCTTTCTTGAATTGTGGGGCCCAAAACTGGGCACAGAACTCCAGGTGAGGCCTTACCAGTGCTGAATAGAGCAGAAGAATCACTTCCTTTGATTTGCAAGTGACACTCCTGTCAATACAACCCAAGATTCTCTTGGCTTTTTTTGCAAAAAGAGCATACAGTTGGTTCATATTCACCTTTTGGTCCACTGGAACCCCCAAATCTTTATAGTGCTGCAGTCCAGCTAGTCATTCCCCAGTCCATATTTGTATCTGGTACTGGTTAAGCCTCACTTAGAGCTGTGGTTCTTTTGTACCAGGACCCATTTGTAAACATCAATGGCTAGCCCCGACCCAGTGCCCCTCATTCCTGGCCTGCTGCCCTTTGCCCTCAGCCCCGCAGTGTGTGGGGCATGGTGGGGAGGGGGCAAGCAGGGAAAAACCATGCAAGGAACAGGCCATGCCTTTCCACATTTTTCTCCTTTTAAAAGAGAATCCGTTTTTAAAGTTTGTTCATGTCCCTTTCATATATTCTTGCGATCGATGGGTTGAGAAATGCTGATTTTAAAGCATTGGATTCAGGTCTGAGCTCCATGTTTTTATGGAAGAAGTTGGAGTGGGTCCAGAGATGGGCAATGAAAATTGTAAAGGGGTTGGTAGGCAGCCAAATGAGGAGAGGTTAAGAAAACTAGTTGTGTTTAACTTGGAAAAAAAAGGAGATCAAGGGGGATGTGATGGCTGTCTTCAACTCTGAAAAGCTTATGTAAAGAAGAGGGAGAACAACTATTCTCTTCCTTGGTTCTGAGAGCAGGACATGAAGCAGTGGTTTTAAATTGCAGCAAAGGAGATTTAGATTAGATCTCATGAAAAACTTCCTTGCTCTTAGGAGAGCACAGCAGTGGCACAGCGTGCCCAGGGGAGTGGGTTTGCTGGAGGCTTCCAATAGAAGGCTGGATAAGCATTCGACAGGGATGATGGTGGCATAGCATTAATGTGCATGGGCAGAGGGTTTGCCCAGAAAACCCTCAAGGCCCTTTCCTCTGATTCTGTGAGTGCTTAAGTTTGCTGACAGGCATTCTCTGTACAGCGTGGCTTCTGCAACAAGTCATGTATGGTGGAGTTTGGGCTCAGTGTTGTGAAAGTCAACCCCCAGGTGTGGCAGCCCATGGATCGTGACACAGATGGATGCAGTGTGATTGGACTGGGTGTGCTGGTTATTGTGAGACGTGAAGTGTCCTCTGTGCTGTTACCTCTCCAGCCCAAAGCAGGTGGTGATCATACAAGATCTGTGCATTACTGCTGGGTGTTCTGTGGATGTGTATAGAGGTCTGCATCCTTAGATGTTGTCACTAAACTCAGGTGCTTCTTGAGATAGGGCTGGGAGTGAGGAGTGCCCTGCTCAAAAGAGGATAGGATGCAGTGTCCAGGAGACCCAGCTATGTGGCTGTGCTACCTCAGCTCTGTGGCTGGGGAGGTGTGGCTCTCAGCTGGAGTGTCTCCCTCCTGGCATTCCCTGTTAGAGCCCAGGCTTAGTAGGTACTGAGGCCAGGCCCTGGGGGTGCTGGGTGGCTCTCATGGTGCAAGCCCATTTGCTTTGTAACTAGCTTTGCTGCATATCTCCTACACTAGGGCATGTCGCTGGACTGTGTGGAGATCTCCCTGTCTCGTGTCTTTGAAAGTGGCCAGGCTTATGTGGCCCTTTCCCGAGCTCGGAGCCTCAAGGGCCTCCGTGTCCTGGACTTTGATCCCAAGGTTGTGAAAGCCAACCCACAAGTGCTGCAGTTCTACAGTCAGCTGCGAAGGGACCAAATTCTCATGCAGGTAACCTGCATAAGCAAATGTCTTCTTGAGCCTGTTGCAGCCAGAGGCAGAGGTGCTCAGATGAGCACAGGTTGAAATGGTCTCCCTTGGGAAGTGGAGAAGCAGCTGGTAGTGACCAAAAGGACAGAACTGCTGGAGGGAGGGGTCAAGGGAGAGGGAAGTAGACCAGGGCAGCATGAAGGGTATGTCCAATGCTGTGAGTTGGGTTTAGATTGCACCCCACTGCCTGACCCACTGTATAGAAAGGCGGGGGGGCGCGGGGGACTGGGCATAATCCTCCCCCTCCCCCACTTCTGCAGAAGGACTGAAAAGAAAACAATTCACTGGGTATCTCATGGCTCTCCCTCCCCCCCAGGCACCTCTACACAGGTATGCTGACACCGATGAGAAGGAGAATTGGGAATCCAGCTGAGGACAGATGGGCTACCTCAGACACAGCAAGGACCGCTCTGTTGTCAAGAATCTCTTGCTGCAGGTGGAATCCCATAGTTCTTGGAATGCGTTTGCTTCCTCGTGCTCACGTGTGGATTTGGAGCCACGGTGTGAAACATTCAGATGTTTTGGCTGATAACATTTTCTCTGGAGAAAACTCATCTTGTGCCTGTCCAGAGTGGGAGGCAGTGTCTCTATACTCTCTCTTCCCAGTATGTGCAGTTGTGAGCCATGGGACTTTGAAGAGGCCAAGTTGGTATCATGGAGGACTTCCTCTTCTTAAGAGCTGCTAGCTTGGGGAGGGGTGGAGGCGTTGTTGCACAGAAGAGGTGCTGTTGAACAGCTGGAGCTTGCTTCTCTGCTGCAAGCAGGCTAGCTCTGGCTCTGCACGAGCCACCCTCTGGCTGTCGCTCTGTAGGCCATTGAGTGCAGCATCATGCTGCTTGCAGTACTTTGTACCCCCTGCCTTTTTCCTCTGGCTGTAGGCAGGGCTCAGCACTTGCAGTATTTGGTGAAATTAGGTGGAATCATAAACCCTCTCTTAATTTTGAAAAACTTTTAGATTCAATAAAAAGGGCCCATGATTTTGTATTTATTTATTTATTTTTAGCTGATGTTGCCATTGGAGTCTGTTGTGGTTAGAGGTGGGAACAAACTTGTGGGCAGAGTTGCGGGATGCCTGTCATGACAACAGGGCTACATGCAAGGGAAGGTGAGCTTCAAGGTGCACCACCAGTTGCCTCTGCTCCTGCAATGACTGCACTTTGGTTTAGTGGCAGCAGAGCAGGTCTCAGGTCCAGTTGTACCCTGGTGAGGTAAGAGGGCAGCACTACATTGGGTGCATGTATCCTGCCCATGTGGCACTCTTGAGAGTGCTCTCATGAAGTAACATTCACCCTCCCTTCTGGATGTGTATAGAGGTCTGCATCCTTAGATGTTGTCACTAAACTCAGGTGCTTCTTGAGATAGGGCTGGGAGTGAGGAGTGCCCTGCTCAAAAGAGGATAGGATGCAGTGTCCAGGAGACCCAGCTATGTGGCTGTGCTACCTCAGCTCTGTGGCTGGGGAGGTGTGGCTCTCAGCTGGAGTGTCTCCCTCCTGGCATTCCCTGTTAGAGCCCAGGCTTAGTAGGTACTGAGGCCAGGCCCTGGGGGTGCTGGGTGGCTCTCATGGTGCAAGCCCATTTGCTTTGTAACTAGCTTTGCTGCATATCTCCTACACTAGGGCATGTCGCTGGACTGTGTGGAGATCTCCCTGTCTCGTGTCTTTGAAAGTGGCCAGGCTTATGTGGCCCTTTCCCGAGCTCGGAGCCTCAAGGGCCTCCGTGTCCTGGACTTTGATCCCAAGGTTGTGAAAGCCAACCCACAAGTGCTGCAGTTCTACAGTCAGCTGCGAAGGGACCAAATTCTCATGCAGGTAACCTGCATAAGCAAATGTCTTCTTGAGCCTGTTGCAGCCAGAGGCAGAGGTGCTCAGATGAGCACAGGTTGAAATGGTCTCCCTTGGGAAGTGGAGAAGCAGCTGGTAGTGACCAAAAGGACAGAACTGCTGGAGGGAGGGGTCAAGGGAGAGGGAAGTAGACCAGGGCAGCATGAAGGGTATGTCCAATGCTGTGAGTTGGGTTTAGATTGCACCCCACTGCCTGACCCACTGTATAGAAAGGCGGGGGGGCGCGGGGGACTGGGCATAATCCTCCCCCTCCCCCACTTCTGCAGAAGGACTGAAAAGAAAACAATTCACTGGGTATCTCATGGCTCTCCCTCCCCCCCAGGCACCTCTACACAGGTATGCTGACACCGATGAGAAGGAGAATTGGGAATCCAGCTGAGGACAGATGGGCTACCTCAGACACAGCAAGGACCGCTCTGTTGTCAAGAATCTCTTGCTGCAGGTGGAATCCCATAGTTCTTGGAATGCGTTTGCTTCCTCGTGCTCACGTGTGGATTTGGAGCCACGGTGTGAAACATTCAGATGTTTTGGCTGATAACATTTTCTCTGGAGAAAACTCATCTTGTGCCTGTCCAGAGTGGGAGGCAGTGTCTCTATACTCTCTCTTCCCAGTATGTGCAGTTGTGAGCCATGGGACTTTGAAGAGGCCAAGTTGGTATCATGGAGGACTTCCTCTTCTTAAGAGCTGCTAGCTTGGGGAGGGGTGGAGGCGTTGTTGCACAGAAGAGGTGCTGTTGAACAGCTGGAGCTTGCTTCTCTGCTGCAAGCAGGCTAGCTCTGGCTCTGCACGAGCCACCCTCTGGCTGTCGCTCTGTAGGCCATTGAGTGCAGCATCATGCTGCTTGCAGTACTTTGTACCCCCTGCCTTTTTCCTCTGGCTGTAGGCAGGGCTCAGCACTTGCAGTATTTGGTGAAATTAGGTGGAATCATAAACCCTCTCTTAATTTTGAAAAACTTTTAGATTCAATAAAAAGGGCCCATGCTTTTGGATTTATTTATTTATTTTTAGCTGATGTTGCCATTGGAGTCTGTTGTGGTTAGAGGTGGGAACAAACTTGTGGGCAGAGTTGCGGGATGCCTGTCATGACAACAGGGCTACATGCAAGGGAAGGTGAGCTTCAAGGTGCACCACCAGTTGCCTCTGCTCCTGCAATGACTGCACTTTGGTTTAGTGGCAGCAGAGCAGGTCTCAGGTCCAGTTGTACCCTGGTGAGGTAAGAGGGCAGCACTACATTGGGTGCATGTATCCTGCCCATGTGGCACTCTTGAGAGTGCTCTCATGAAGTAACATTCACCCTCCCTTCCTGCCCCC